ATACTTCTATTATGTCATGATTTTATAGACTGGCTGAATGGTTTCTAGTCTAGGAAAGAATTGGCTGGTCTCAGCTCTGTGCTCATGCATCAGCTGACTGCTGGTAAGATGGATGAGATGACTCAACTCTCCACAGATCTCCTGTATCTGCCAGCAGGCCAGTCTTCACTTTTCTTATGGCTGTGGCAGCAAAGATCCAAAGGGAAGAAACAAAAATGTTTCTCTGTGTCCAGTTTGCTGTTTTCCCATTGGCCAAAGTAAATTATATGGTCAAGTTCAGAGTCAGTGCAGCAAGGCGACATCAGAAATTTTGGAACAGGAAGGCAAGAAAACATGGGACATTGATATAATCCATCTATACGATGGGCATGATGTAATGCTACAATTGCAGATATTTTTTTAAAACAGTGAATTACCAGTCAAAAGCAAGTTGAAGTAGAGAGGCCAATAGTGAGCTCCTAATAAGTATTTAATGAATGACTAAATGAAGCAAATTCAATGCAGAAGACACGTCTGATATATCCATTCATATACTGCTAGTTAAGGTAGTAAAGAGCTCCAGCTTCCAGAGATAAATACGCTCTTAAGAACACCAGAACTTAATAAAAATACCAAGTTTTTTTCTTAAGGAAAAGCAAAATATAAGTGTAAAAAGTTATGTGTGAATCTTGAGATCACTAAAACACATTGTTGAAAAGGGTTATCAGTGAGCATTCTGATATAATATTTGGTATAATATTTCTTCATTCACATTATGTGATATCAAAGTTCAGATAAGACTGATAGTCAAATTGTCCCTTTTGTTTTTGGTATATTCTAATTTACTCAAAGCTTTGGGTCATAATGTAAATAATTATGTATCTAGTTTTAAATTTGCCTGCTTTGAAAATTTTTTTCCAAATTTTTATCATGTTATGCTAGAGATTCAAAATATTCCAGGATGAATCAAATCAGGGACTGTCCCTCACTCTGCATTTCCAAGAAAGTCACTTCCAGAGAGGAGAAGAGTGGAAGAGCTTGTATCATTTATTGAGATAAGTACCTATTTATTATTTTAATGTAAAAGCAATGATGGTATTTTAAACCATTTCCTTGCTCCCTCTTCTGTTATTTTTTCATTATTCTAACCTATGGAGCAGAAAGCTTTACATGAAATATTATTAAAGAAGATGGTTCATAAATATTCATCCTAGAGGTATCATCTCAGCTTTATTATGACATTAAAGATGCAATTATTAAGCTGTGTGCTTGGGATTTTGTTAAACATCAAGCATCAAGGAAAGGTTAAAAAAGTGTAGACCTACGAGAGACTACCAGAGTGATGAAGAATGAGGAGTTATTTAGTGTTTGAAATGAGGCATCCCTAAGACATCCTAAACACGGTGGGTGTTCCCTCTCTGTTGTTAAGGATCACGCTTAATGTTGATGATTTTCAGCTGTTTGTGCCCAGTGTCCTTAGTGATAGTTAAGACTATTTTAAAAGGATAATAATGGAGTGAAGAAAAACTGTTTTCTTGGAATTGAGAAGACACATTACAAGAAGCTTATTTTAGACTTTCATTCAGGTTTTCCAAACTACTTCCTGCCTAAGAGGCTACACCATCACAAATTCTAAATTTTACCTCACAGAAAATAATTTAAGCAGTCCTTTGATGGTTATCAACTGGTTGTTCTTTGAAAAACAAATGGAAAAAGCCCGAAGAGAGAATTTATCTAGAATGCTGAAAAAGATCTCATACTCAAATACTATACTTTGAAAAGTATAAATAGATGCATCATAGGTTATTTATAATAATAATATAATAATAGGTTATTTCTTGCTTGGGAGAATAAGAGACATTTATGGCTTTGTGGAGGTGGCTTGCTTATTTATTTATTATTTTCAGAGCTAGGGATAGAACCCAGGGCCTTGCACATGCTAGGCAAGTGCTCTAACCCCTGAGCTATATCCTGCCCTGGAAGTTACTTTTAAAGGATTGATGGAATATTATTATAGAATGTAGCTAGAAAAAAATGTGTGCTATGTGTTTATGAACAGAGAATAAGATAAATTCAGATTAGCTTTGTGAATGGCAGGTTGGGGCTAGAAACTGAATACTGTTTTCAGTAATTCTAACATTATTCTTCAGGGAGTGGATAGGAATTCCATATTTACCATCAGAACAGTAATAAGATTAGAGTTGTCATTTGGGGAGATTAATCTGTGTGTAGAAGGGATTTGAAGGAAAAAGAAATTGAATAGGAAGCTTAAAATTCTAAATGTTAAGGAATGAGAAAAGTTGTAAGGGAGAAGAAAGGGAAGTTTCCAAGACAGGAAGGGTAGAATTCATAGACTTTACCAACAGATTGGGTATGGGAGCAAATGAGATGGAGCAGAACAAGAGTGCCCCAAGGTTTAGCACTGGCTATGGACTATTAAAATAATTGAGGAGGACAGATGGGGAGAGGATCTGTATTTTTTTCTATTAATTTGTACAATGTGCACATGGGCTGTTTATTTAACTCTTGACAATCTGAGAGGAAGAAACAAAGCTTAGAGAAGATGATCAAGGCTAATCTTATAGATTTAAAAATTATGTGCAGATACTATAAATGGAGAGCTTGTTGGAAACAGCTAAGAGAAAATGTATAGAAAGATTTCTACCCATGATGAAAGACAGATTACCTTTTTGAATTGATTTGTGGGAAGCTCATTGCTAAATCTCAAGTCCAGTTGCAGAACTGTTCCTTAAAGTCTTCTGGTAAAAAGACTCTGTTGCACATTTTCTTTAAAAATTTTTCCCTCTTAAAGGAAGAAGGGGAAAAAAGGGAAATATTGGGGAACAATATGGCAAAATTATATTATTATGTTGTATTTATGTAGGAATATGTATCGAGTCCCACCATTATGTACAATTATAAAGAAACAATAATAGATGGGAAAATAGTAGCCTCCTCCCCATAAAGTTAGGGGTTTGAAGTGGTTATATATTTTTGAAATACTACATATTTCATAGATTCTCAGATGCAGATGTTTTATCATTTATGAAATGAAATATGTCTTAAAATGATTGGTGTGTCAATAGTTTAAATGACAATATGTTTTCGTTGCAAAGGCATATAAAATAATGGCACATGTTATAATCAGTGGTGCCTTAGATATTATGATGTATACTTCCTTCTGTGTTTCCCTAACTTGGCAAGCTGGCTTCTTTTCCATGAAGCCTTTTGTTCATCCAAAAGGAGAACAATCTAGGTTACCTAGAGAAGACTGAGAAGGAGAGTAGAATACTGTATAGGCATTTCAATTAATAAGGAATGAATATCTTTTGTGCTGAAATGAAGAACAAAGGGAGGAATTGGAAATCAAGCACCTTGGCTTCCAAATGGGAACAAAAGTCCTGGGTATGGGAGAAGCAAGACAAAATATATTCCCAGAAAGCTTTGGGTCTAGTATAAGCAGACTTTCTTCTTCAGGTAAATTTCTAGAAAGCATTGATACTCCTGGATTTTTAAGTCAGCATGGTATTATAACAACGTGGCACTAGTAACTGACAAATGATCAAAGGAGGTGTCTTGATGGATAATGGATCTGATCTAGCGCCTCTAGTTCCCCACAGCCTAATAAGATCCAGGAGTTTTGCATTTCCAGAAGAATGCTAGAATAAATTGAGCCCATAATGAGGACTCAGCTTAGAAATAACCTTGATCTTTAACTGCTTTAAAAGGCCCATTTTACAGGGCTATATTTGAGGGCAACTAGGACTGGTCCAATAATGGGGAGACCAAATACCCCTCCCAAACGCCAGGAGGACACTTGAACTTCCCTTTATAGCCAGATGCCATATGACAAGAGTTAGACCTCTTAAATGTGGAGGAATATCTAAAAAGGAGATTTGATACAAAGCAATTAAACATATCCCTGAAATAAAGGGGTGTGTGTGTGTTTTAAGATGAAAAGACTGTGTTACTTTAATTGGCAAGATTTTTTTTTTTTCACAATGAGTAAGAATGGAGGATTTGGGTGCCATGTGAATTTATAATGGCAAGTAAACCACATCTTTTATTATAGATTTGAGCTGTGTATATTTTAATCCTACTACAATGAGTCCTTTGAAGGAGTAAGATGTCTCAAATAATGAAAGTAGTCTTAGATTTTATGATATATAAGTATATCACATTTATATAAGTATATTTTGTATATTATGATAGATAAAAGAAAACTGGTTTAAGATATAACAGAAAAATAAAAATTTATGGTGGCATAGGATAGAAAAAAAACAGAAGAAATTATTAAAACAGTGGGCAAACTAGCAGTACCTCTCAAAAGCTGAAACCTGTTGGACATGGTGGGGCACACCTGTAATCCCTGTGACTTGGGAGGCTGAGGCAAGAGGACTGCAAGTTTGAGCCAGCCTCATCAATTTAGCGAGGCCTTGTCTCAAAATTTAAAAAAATATATAGAAAAGGGGTAGAGATACCTCTATGGTAAGGTACCCCTGGGTTCAATTTCCAGTACCTAAATAAATAAATTAATAAAATTAGAGACAAGAGAGGGGATTGATGAATTTGGTGCTGGGTTACAGAAGGATGAACTTAGTTGTGCTCTTGGAAGAGACCATTAGAATTAAAGAGAAGCCATGCAGAATCCTTGAAAACTGACAATCCAAATGTGGTAACATTCTATTAACCACAACTTTTCATGGGGTATTAGTGCTGAAAGATATGTAATTTGAGTCCCTTGATTTATAGATAAGGAAACTAGAAACCGAAAAATATAAAATTTCTCTTCTGTAAAAGAAGGCAGTTAAAATCATAAATATGAGAAAAAGAAAAAAAAAGTCCATTACATTTGGAAATCAAGTAGAGTGTGTATTTGTAGAATTTTGTGTCATTTTGATTGCACAACATGTTAGGAGCATGAAAGAAGCCCCTTTTGAAAAAAATGAAGTGATCATTTATGGAAGACAAATAGCTTACGAGCAAGCATCATGGGAGCAAATACTCTGACGAGCGTTAAATGTGTTTTCATTTTTTATTAGAGAAGTTGGAAGTTGAATTTCAGTATTGATGATATCATCATTTTCTCTGGTTTGTTCAGAGGAACACACAGGATCAATCTGTACAAGCATATACAATTCCGTTGGCGTTTTGTGTCCTAGAATCAGCGATCTCATTAGTTCAAGGATGCCAGGTCTCCGTGCACCCTTCTGAGGCTTGGTGCCTTCGCAGGTTTCCCAGCCCTGTACTTCTTCATGCACTCTCTGCATTGCAACTACAGCAGGCTTGGACCATGCAAATTAACACTGTAGCAAATTGTTTGAATATTTAACAGACATAAAAAGGTATTTCCTGATATGAAATTCTGAAAATCTGCATAAATATTTTTGTGTAAAATTAAATTAGTTATGTTTTTTTTTCAAACTAGAACTTGAAGTATCAAGAATGCCCACATAATTCATATACACATATATATAGACTTTTTCATTATGCTAAAAGTCTTGATAGTCAAATTATATTCTGTGCCATACATGTATTTAACCAGTATTTATTTGGCATTAGGTTAACTGTGTCTGAACAAGTTAGTCTTAACTGGTGCTTGTGTATCATGCAAAACATATTCTAGTATTCCTGTACTAATCTTGTCATGTGGCAATATTTAGATGATTTTGCTCTATAACAGTGTGAATTAAGGAGTATAAATACTTTATACATGATCACATATACAAACGTTTGCCAATAACCACTTCACAATCTTTATGGTATAATAGTGAATTCTAATATCTGGAATCTGAAGAAGCAATTCCTATAAAGCAGGGTCAGATGTAAACTTTCTTAAATGATCCTAACAGAGTTTCCCTCTGAGCACTGATGAGTTTTGGCACAGGTCTACTCTTCGGTTATATTTCTCTATTGTTCTAATAACTTTCACAACTTTTACAGGAAATTAGCTTCTGACGGCATGGTAAAGACATGGCACTTACTGATGAGGTAACTTAGATATAGAAAAATTCTGCAAAATTATTTGTTTAGCAGACCACCACTTCTGCTCATGAATTTGTAGACAGAGTTTTTGCTTTTCTTATAGTGCATGCACTTGCTATGAAATTGCTAATGCACTGTTTTTTGTTTTTTTTTTTTTTAAATTGCAGCTCAAACATGTTCTAATGCATCACGAAGCAGAGTTGTTAACACCAAGCTCATTTACTTGTGATGATATCTTATAGCAAACATGTTTAAGTTGTTTTATCAATGGTTAAACTCTGCCTTACTGGAATAGATTTCTGTGGATTTGCAGCTACTTTTGGTTCAGCCAAGAAAATTCAATACTCAAACTGATAAATAGAAGTATGTGTCATTCCAAGGTTTTTTTTTTTTTTTTTTGTGTGTGTGTGTGGTTTCAGGTAACATCTTGTCTATACATAAAGAAAATAGCTTTTGTCCATGGAGTTTGTGTTCTGAAGTTGGGTGCAATCTTCTGATGATTTGTGGTTTTGCTGCTTCAGTTTGCATTTTGGAGTTTCACACTACTGTTGCTGGTCTGCGGTCCATCTCGGCTTCCAATTTCACCATCTGCTGCATCTCCTTCGCCTATAACACCAGAAACATGGCCTTACAATGTGAAATCCTCTCCCAAAGGCATTTTTAACAACTCTGGCTTCCCTTCTCCCCTAAATGTGATGCTGTCGCTATATCCTTGCTACTCAATGTGTGGTCCGTGGACCAGCAGCATCTACGTTCGTTCCCTGGGACCTTCTCAGAAATGCAGAATCTCAGAAGTGTTGGTAGATCAGAAGACCTACTGAATCCAAATCTGCATTTTAACAAGATCCCCAGGAAAAACACTGGAAAGAAGTCTGAGTCAGTCACTTGATATCTAGACTATTTCACATCAAAATGTTCCCTTTAGTTTCTATAGTTTGACAAAGTCTTTTGACTGTGTGTAGACCATTTTTAGAATGAGTGTTGCGTATGTGCAATTTATTCCCCAAATAGCCTAAAATTTTATTAAAAAATATTCTCTGAGAATCTGATTGATGGTGAAAATCAGAGAAGAGCATATTTTATTGGTTTGGCTAGAGTGTCATGTAAATAGAACATTATAGGAATATGTAGGGGTCCAGGAGTCCTATTGTCCATACTGTATCCCTGGGAGCTTTTACTTCTCTGGGGTAATTCATTCTTTATGGATGGCCAGGAAGTAAGAGAACAGTGATGAATTCCATCTCATTAATTAAGACTGTCAGTAAGACAATCAGCTGATTTGAGAGGTGAAAAGGGATCTAATGGAGGAAGGATCTGGTGACTAATCATTGTTGGGCAACATAGGGAAAATAAAAAAAGTTCATTTCAACTTTTACTTTCCAACTGATGGTCTCGATGCTTTTTGGAGGGATGAGAAAGCACCCCTTTCTTTGTCAGTGACACTTTGAAATTAAGGGCATGTAAGAATGGAAACATGGAAATATAAAGGTATAAATCAGAGGAAGATTCTGAATGCTCTGGTGCTACTATTCATGTCTGTTTGGTATTTCCAACTAAATTGAAAAATCACAGGGCAGGTTCAGTCAACTCTAGATCATACTAGAACTCTCATAATCTCTCAAATAAAATTCTGTAAAAAAAATTAGTTCAACCCACAGACCACATAGTGATTTTCTTATTATTTCTTTCATGTTACAGATTTCAATTTCATTTTGTTGAGAATGAATATAATAACACCAAAGAATTACATTTATCTGTTTACATTTGGGATGAATGATTCTCTCCACCCAGATATTTTTTTTATCACTGATAATAGTAATACTCTAATAGAAAAATGAAGAAATGGAGAAAAATATACAAACATGAAACCATGACACAAACAGTATTCATAAGAGATGACAGTGAAACATTATCAGCACTGGAAATTAAATAATTTGATGTTTGGTTAATAGTAGTAAAAAGATTCCCTATGCTTCTCCCCCTTTAGCATTTAAAGGCAATATTGAACATAGCTTAAGAAGAAATGTATGACATTAAAAGATAATTTTGAAAGCTACGTTCTTGTGTGAGCAGGGTGACCATTCATTTCCATTTGCCTGGGACAATTCTAGCACATGCCTGGCTATTATGAACAGCTCTCCCTTTCTTGAACATGTCTTATTTCTGGCTCAAACAATAAGTGATAAGGTCACTTTACCAGGTGTGACTAGGGTCCTTGGCAGACTGGACTTAGCAGAGTATAACAAAATACATTATGGAACTTTTCTGCACATAGACCATAACTTTCTGTCATTAAAAACAACAGCCAATTTTCAGTGGGGCACATTAAATATTAATTGTAGTCACATTAACAATGGTAATCAATATGACTCTGTGACCCAGTCTTAGCCATGGTGGGTCCATATAACAAGTGTAAATATATATATTTATATATATAATTGTTCTTAATATCTGGGTTGTCTTTATTATCATGACCTGTTTCCCAGATCTGCAATTGGAAATGCTGGCTAAAATGCCATCAGAAATAATTCTCTAAAGATTTTTTTAGTATTTCAGATGAAATATTATATCATAAATCCAAGCATGAAATAGTCAAGTGCTTTAAGTCCAAACCCTTATGATATTAGTTACGACCAGATATGAATCATAAATGGAGGTTGCATCAAGAATACTGTAATTGAGAAGGAAAGCAATGGTTTGCTCATCAGAGTTTCAGTCCTACCTTGCGTTTGGGACACTGCATGACAGGATTTCAAAAGCTGTTTGTACAAAAATAGTAATGTCAAAATTGAGTCATACATACAAAACAAAGAAAATAAATGAATATTGAAGTGAATTTGAGAAATGAAAGCAAAAACCATATACAGAAAAGGAAAAACCTAAGAATAAAACATGTATACACCCATCAGTGACAAACTTGCCCCAAGTTGATCTCAACAGAAAAGAAAAAAAAAAAAAAAAAAAAGAACAAATCAAAATCAAACATCCAATGCCTATTTGCCCAGACTGCATGTCTCTTCTGTGGCTGTGAACAGAGAACCCAATCTTAAGCGAAACCCTTTATCTTGCTTTATTAAACAATAGGATTGATGACAAAAATCAATTTTTAAGACTCAACTGTGACAATAATGGAGTCGTTAATGTTCAAAATGGCACATGTCAAGACAGATGATATATCGTGTAGCTAGGAGGACTATGGAAAAACCTGAGCAGGAAAAACCTTCCTGGCCTGTGGAGTTTTAAGTGAACAACTGGCTGATGAATCAGGCAAAGCCATATAGTGGCTTACAATGAACATATGAAAGTAGGATCCAAAATCAGAACCTAAACATAGGACTGATTGTATTGCTTCTCCCAATGCCCTCGACATGGGTCTTAATTCTCAAGTTGCTTTATTGTGAGATTGGTCTGGGGGATGGCTGGGAGGATATTTTGGAACCAGGTCACTGAAAAGCAGTAAGTAACCACAAGAAGGAAATATTTAAATGTTTAAATTAATTTCTTTGGTCTAGAAACAAAATTGGTTATGAACAAGTTCTACTATATGGTTGCAGAACCTGACTTTTATGAGGGGAGAAAGGGACTCATGGCCTCTTTCCCACATATGGCTATGGGCTATGACAGTGTCGCGCCATGAAAAATAACTGTGAACTGACAGCTTAGCGGACCCCTAAATTAAACAAATAAAAAAAGTGCTAGAAAGATCTGGGATTCGACTACTTATAGGACAGTCCATATTTGTAAAGCCAAACAACAAAGAAATCCAAGTTCAAATTCTATATTTGCCTGAAGGATCAGTATGGTATCTTGAATTTTTTTTCACCCTTAAATCTCATGAAATCTTCATCAGGTCTCAAAGTTTTTTATGTTCTGTGCTTTCCTAAGCTTTTGTGACTCAAAATGTCCATTGTGGGTGGTAGACATAATTTATGACACACTGAAAGGCATTTTATGAATTTTAGGAACAAAAAGCCAGCATCCTCTTAACATACAACAATTACTAATTCAGTATTTTAATGCAAGAACTCTAATGTGATTTGAATCGATCATGTATCAGTATAGACGTTCAAAGTGATTTTTTAAAAATTATTTACTCTGACTCTGAAACTAACATTAGAAAACTATATATTCTAGCTCTGAGCTACACCACTATTGTAGTGATGAGCAATTTTTAGCACATTTACATTCTTTAGTCAAATACGTTGCTAAGCAACACAATAATTTCTAAGTAGTTTCTTAATTTAGATAGTTAAAGCATAACTATGCCTTACCTTTCATTGTGCCCTTGTCCTAAGAAGGATTTTTTTTTTTAAACTTTCTCCAGGGCATCCTATCCCCACCTACTCCTGAATTACTCAAGAGGGTTCTAAAGCATTAGAGATAATGATTTTCCCTTATTCACATTTCTACTTCCCCAGGAATACTTTCTGGGAAAAATGTAAGAGCAAAAACACAGGTTACCTAAATCATACCAGAATGTGACACAGCCATGTGCTGGTCAACTGAATTGAACTTATGGGACAATAAAAACTGATGGTCTCCTTTGGGGACTGGTGAACTATTCATGAATAGAAGCACTTAGCAGAAAGGGAAATGTGAAACAATTCAGAACTATGTCGATGAATAAAACTTTTGTCAACCAAAAAATAGAGTCTGAAACCAGAAATCAGATTGGTTGCCCAGATGCAATTAAAAAAAAAAAAAAAAAAAAAAAGATTTCATGGGTTTTACTTTCTTAAAGGTACTTTGTAATTTAATTCCTACTTAAGTGTTTTTCAATGAAAGCCATTTACTTTGAGAATGTGAATATATATATATATATATATGTATATATATTTAATTTATATATATATATTTAATTATGCTTTATAGATAAGAGGAAATAGAGAAGGACAATGTGGTTCAAGTACACATTTCATCGAAACTTCTGTACATGTAGCTTCTAAATGGGAGTAAATTTCTAGAAAGAATAACTTCCAAGCCAACTTCACCTGAAGAGTGAAATTTGAACTCAGAGTCTGAAATTTAAACCCTTCCTGAGGGTCATGTTGCCTTTTAAGCTAGAGGAATTTCCATCAAGTTGAAATGGTGCTGTAGAAGGCTGATGGACTACAGACCATTTGGGATGAATCCCACCTGTACTTTGGAATGTGAAAATACATCTATCCTCATCCTGTTAACTAAATGGCTGGAGTTTGGATAACTCTTTATTTATTTGATATTTAGTGTTTTGCTTTGCTGGGAAGAAGAAGCAAGAGTATGGTGTCCACTCACAATGGGTGGTTTGTAGATTTGTTGGAGGCATGAATTTAAATCCTAGGAAGGATTTATAACTTCACTTTTGGACTGACATTGAAAATAGAAAAAATTTTAAATTGGCTTTTAAATATAATTTCACTTGTCTGGAGGCTGCAAATTGTAAATCTCTAAATGAAACCTGAGAAGTAATTTTTGTCCTGCTTTCTCATTCACACTCTTTTAGTAATGTCATTCTCAGAATCCCTATAACATGTTCAAATTATGACTTTTCATTCTTCTTCTTTTTCCCACAGATACTCGAAAAAATGTACTTTCTGTATTTTTTGGATGAAACTGATAAAATAGGTTAAATATCCAGCAGAATCCTCTAGGCACCTTCCCATTACCCTCTGCAGGCCAGTGGCTTTAGCAGAAGGGTCCCTGTGGGCCATGACATTTGCATACTGAAATTGGTTGACTGCCAACATAGTTTTATGTATTTTAGGTAAAATACCTGCTCATTCTGCTTCTCTAGAAATTCTAGGTGTTCAAGTTGGACTTTTTTCAATTGATCCATTTCTTTGGATTGCTTCATTGCAAGCTGCAAAAGAAAAGAAAAATTTTGATAAACTTCGGGTCACAATCTCTAAACTTATGGATGAGGGATGACTTTTAAGTTCATAATTTAAGTGAGGAAGATCATAATTCAAAAAAAGAAAGAAACATAGTCTGAATACTGTGAGAGTTTAAGCCCATAACTCTTACTGAGAAGATCTTTCCTGCTAGAACTTTAAAAAATAATAGAGTACTTATATATGACTGAAACTTGCCTTCGTAGTCTATATAAAATGCTGTCAAATAATTACCCTAAAGATTTTAAAAAGAGATTAGCTTTCATGGAACAGAGAAGCTGTAATGTTCAATGTATGGAAAAAATCAAATTAAGCACATTAGTTAGAAGGCTGATATCTAAGCCCAAGTTATTGTCTACAGTTTTTATTCAAGGAAAAGTGCCAAGAAAATTATAAAGTACTTACTCTCTTTCTTTCTTCTAGAAATTTTTTAGTGTTGCTGCTGTTTAATTCTCTGACTCGCCTAAAAATAATATACAAATAACAGTTGGCATGACTATTGGGAACAAAGCTTATACAAGGAAGAACCAGTTACACTCTACTTAATTATCTGAGTAGAATTGCTGCTTTTTCCTAATTTTTATTGCAGCATTTTCAAACATACAACATACAGAGGAAAACATAAAAACTATCTGTGTACATACCTCTCAGGTTAACCAATATTCGTGTTCTACCATGATCTCATATTTTAAAGGAAGTATTACAGATTTAATAAAAGCTTCTTTTGTACTCATCCTGATTTTATTTCCCTCCTTCCTCTCTTCCCAGAGGTGTGAATCACTGTTCTGAATTTGTTCATAACTGACTTAAAATATTGTATTTTAATATTTTTAACTACAAATGGATGTGTCTATGTGCAAAATATATAAGTCCTTCTCAAACTTTCCCATGTATACAGCTTACCTGGAGGTAGAATCAAAAACATTTTTCTGAGACTGCCCCCAAAAATGTCTGATTCAGTGGATTTCAGGTGAGCTTCCAATTCCACATTTCTAGCCATCTCCCAGGTATGCTAGTGTTGTTGATATTACTTTGTATGTTTTCAAAATTTACCCAAACAGTAACATATTTTGAGTTTCTTTCCATAATTTATCACTTAGTCTCAAATTTTGGAGATAACATCTGTTTCAAACTACTCCATGGTTTCATCTACTGTATGGATTTTTCCATTAATGAACAAACTACAATATTTCCATTTTCCATTTTTGTTTATTAACAAAAATAAGTTATTTTCAAACAATGCCACAATGACCTGATACATAGGGCCCTGCAATACTTGGCACAAGAAATGTTAGTTGAATAAATAAATAAAGTTAGCGGTTTCATTCATATATATATATATGTGTGTGTGTGTGTATATATATATATACACACACACACACACACACACACACACACACACACACACCTAGAGTTGCCAGGTGCTAGGATATAGCAAATCAATTTTTTGGGGAGGGGTACCCGGGATTGAACTCAGGGACACTCTATCACCCCGAGCCTTATTTTGTATTTTATTTAGAGACAGGTTCTCACTGAGTTGCTTAGTGCTCACTGTTGCTGAGGCTGGCTTTGAATTTGAGATCCTCCTGCTTTAGCCTCTGGAGCCACTGGAATTACAGGTGTGCATCACTGTGCCTGGCTATGCTATTGTTTTAATTGTCATCTCCCTGATTACTGGTGAGTGGAGTGTTTTTCATGACACAATTGACCTACAACTTGTGGAACTTTGGTAACAGTTATAAGTCTGTTCAAGTTTTCCCCATTTTCAGTCAGTTGTGAATATTTGCATTTTTTCTAGGTTCTTCTCCACTCCACCTGTTTTTAAGTTCATTGTCTATAGTAGCCTTGATTTTTAAAAATATTTATTGTCTCTGCAGTTATTTTCTCCTTTCCTTCCCAGTATCACCAAATTGTGTTTTCTCTTTTTCATCTTGATTTGTCTTGCTGAAAATTTATGCAAGCTTTTGTTTTTGTGGATGCTCTCCATTGCTTTTTGTTCTATTTCAGTACTTTCTGCTTTTTTATTTGTTATTTTGTCCCATTTGAGATCTTTGGATTTACTCTGTTTCTTGACCTTTACACCTTCTTTAACAGTTTAGCTCATTGATTTTCACACCTTTAAAAATACATGCATCCAGCTCTACTTTTTACCTAAATATCACCTTAGCCACCTTGAACCTATCAATACATAGTGCTTGCTTTACCAATTCAGTTATAAATGCTGTGCAATTTTTGTCGAAATGTTTTTGAATCAGGAATAGAATAGTTTTTCTGTCCCTATGTCTTTCTTAGTGCTATGATAAAGTTTTAATTTTATTTCTCAGCAACATGGTAAAATGGAAACATACTCAAACAAACATATGGTATGTGTGTTTGGAAGGTGATTAACCATTTGTCATACAGAAATTATTATTATTTTTTAAATCTAGCAATTTTTTGATTTGGGGAACCAATTATCACTGCATACAAAATTATAAGAATAAATATAAGTCAAAATACAGGAAATATTTTTTAAAACTTGCTAATTAAGTTAGCTGTGACTCAGAATTGAAGATCATTTGACCTGTTGAACTAACATCCACTTTAGAACATATTTGAAAAAAAATAAAAGATAAAGAACTATATAGAAATTAGTAAATTTTATCATGTTGAACTATTTATTTCACTTTGGACAGTCTAAAACAATTCAAATTTATGATGTGTGATTTTTTTAAATCATGGCTAAGATATTTTATGTTTTTGAGCTGAGGATGATTGTGCCATTTTCATTCATCTAAGATACTTACAACAAGTTTCTTATTTGAGAATAACATCCAGAGACTGGCACCTTTTAATAATCAAGAACCAGAAAGATACCATGACATCATGCTGCATATAAGCAGTGGTACAAATGATTGATAACCTCCCTAGAGCCTTCTTATTTACTATTCCACATCGAGAGAGAAGTGTGGGAAATAAAATTCATTTTCAGGTCAAAATTACTGTGGAATTTTCTATCCCATTTTGGGTCCATTATTTCTTTCTTTCTTTTTTTAAATATTTATTTATTAGTTGTAGTTGTACATAATACCTTTATTTTATTTTTATGTGGTGCTGAGGATCCAACCCAGGGCCTAGCACCTGCTAGGCAAGCGCTCTACCACTGAGTCACAACCCCAGCCCCTGGGTCCATTATTTCTAATTAGTATTTATTGTAACAAAATTTCAGCACAAGAAATGTGCTAGATGGCACTAAGCTTTATATTTTATCATAGTTTGATAATTGAATGATTTAGCATCATTCAATAATTGAAATGTGTTTTAAAAATCAGTGGTACCAAGTAGTAGGACAGCAGTCCTGATGTGTTCAAAACAAGAAGGAAACATCAGGTGTCCAGTGAGCATCCACAAAAGGCCAGGCATCAGGGGAGGGACATGAGGAGGATCTACTTTGTAGTTTCCAATCCTCTAACTGCTCAGCCTATGGCTCACAGGGTGATGAATGACCTGAAATCCTCGCTCATGTTTCTGTTTTATCCCCAAGAGCAAATCGTCACTGTGTTCTGTACTTTGCAGGGCATAAAATAATCTTTTGATGGCACATGGACTACTGCCAGAAGATCACCTCTGGTTTTGTATCTTCCTCTAGGACAAGGAAGCCTGCTGTCCTTAAGCACTAAGCCAGCCTCTTGATTAGCATACTCAGAGGTGGGTGGTGAGCAGAAGAGGTGAAGGTGTTATCTGTGATCACTGCTTACCAGGTGCTGTTAACTCCCTCTCTTGGGTAACATGATGATTGATGCCCCTCAGATGCCTCTTTACCAGCTGCAGTTAAAGGGCTTCCACCTGGCACCTTCATTAAAAGACACACAACCTTGCCCAGGCAGCCTGTGACTGATCAATATGGAATATGAAAAACATATAGCCTTTCCTCAAAGGGAGACACATCTGGGTGCAAGGTATAATATGGAGCTTTGGGTCAGGCTACCAGGGGACTCTGGCTGGGACTACAGCCTTACTGAGGCCTGCCCTGGCTCCATAGTGCTTTCCCAATTTCCCACTGCTGAAGACCCCTGGATTCCTGCCTTTATCTCTCTTTCCAGAAAACCCACCTAACATACGAGCAAACCAGAAAGCTGACCCAATGAAACACGGGAAGGATGTTTTGGAGTATATTATTATATCAAATTTTATAAAATTTTGTGTATAAATGAGCACACATATTTTGAAAGTACACTTATTTTACTGGTCGTAGTAAACAATCAGAAAATTGCAGAATACTGTTCTACAGCAATAATAATAAATCTCAATAGTAGCTATAATAGTTGAACTCCTAGCCAGAACACACTAGCATTTTCTATTTCAGATGAATCTGTGTGTCCACACACACAAATGTTGCTGCGACTGTGTCTTCAAGTCAGGATCTATTTCTCCAGTGAGCGTGCTCAGACTTACCTTTCCCGTTCTGCTTTATTCTTGATAGATTTGTCTTGGCTGATGGCTTTGCTGTTTTCCATAGAAATCTTGGCCTGGTGGGCTCTCATTTCCTTGCTTTCCCTGTTGTACGAAAAACAGAGGGGGAAATGGATGGAAAGTTCATGTTAAATGTGTACAGTTTCCTTTGAAGAAGATGAAAAAGTTCTGGAAATGGGTGGCCATGACAGGTACACGACAATGTCAATGTACTTGATGCCTCCTGCTTAAAAATGGCTACAATGTTACATTTTCTGTTATATATGTTTAACCATAATTTAAAAAATATAAAAGTTAACAAAGAACAAATTGTATATGTGATAACAGAACAAGGCCCACTTATTCTTCTCATTATTGATCTTATCAAGTCGTTTTTGTATTTTGGAAAAGGAGGGAAGACAGAGCCGCCCCCCCACCCCCCGCGCCTGCCAGGTAGGCGGAACTGTGACCACCGACAGAAAAGGCCCAGTGGCCCGCGGCGGGACAGAGCTTCCAATCACTCCTGCAAGGTAGGCGGGCCTGCGACCCACCGGCAGAAGAGGAGCAGCGGCCTGCTGAGAGGCAGAGCCGCCCCCTCCCCCTGCGCCGGCAAGGTAGAGGGAACTGTGACCACCCACAGAACAGGCCCAGCGGCCTGCTGAGGGGCAGAGCCGCCCCCCACCCCCCGC